GTGCAGCAAATGCATGTGCATTCCAAACAAAGGACAATGTATGCTGTGGCAAAATTCCATTCAAGATGTAACTGCTCCAAGCAGTAACAATTTTGGTCACCATGGAAAATTTAAAACAAAATGGTAGCTGAATTTAGTTGACTAATAAGTTTTGAACCCCTTTGTGCTTTGTCTTCATGTCAATTTGGGTTTTGAATCAAACATTCAGTGCAGCCCAGTTTTCAAAAGTCAGATTTTAACAATGCTACCAAAGCTAATCCAAGTTAAAAAAGTTTATTTCACAATGTCTGTTTGATCATTGGTTTTGACTGTTACCTCCAATAACATATACAGACAATGGCATCACCTAAACTTGCTTAATTTAAGGATTTTGTAGCATGACAATCTTCTATCAGTGAAGATCACCAACTTCTTGGACCTTTGTACTCATATTAATTTTACTATTATTGAGACTACATGTAAGAAATAAGTTTTCCCACTCACTCTGAGGGTGACTTGTCTTATACGTTTGAACTGGAGTCTGAGGACCTGTCTTGTGTTCCAGTAATGAAGGTGGCCTGTTATGATGAAAGGAGCCTTTGAAAACCAAAAGGAGTTTTCACTTATTAATTTATTAATATTTTGAAAATTCTACTTTGTGCCTACAATGTGCTAAACAATTTGTAATTTTTTTATTAAAAAAAGTGCATGGCCTTTGAGGTCGAGTAATGGCAATAATGATGGAAACAATGATTGTCTGTTATGTAAATTTGCAATAATGTTGTATACTCGTCTGATTATTATAATTACTCCAACTCATTCTGACTGTTCCCTCTCTGATAATTGTGCCTTTCATGAATCTGACTGGCCACAGCAGAAGGTAAATGACTGCATTCTACTGATCCAGAGAGTAGTCAAAATCACTCTACAATACAGAGATTGCAACAGGAAATTGCAATAATACATTGTAGTATTTAAAAAAAAATATGTTTTCCCACTCACTCTGAGGGTGACTTGTCTGATACGTTTGAGCTGGAGTCTGATGGACTGCAGGAAAAGGCAACTGCTTGTGTTCCACTAATGAAGGTGGCCTGCCATGACCAGAGGAGCCTTTGAAAACCAAAATGTTGATTTCATGTTAATGCGTGACAGCAAGGATGTTGGTTTCACTTAGAAACCAACAAAATGTCAATTTCACGCACTGCATAAGTTCAATGATGTTGATTTCAGGTCTAAATAGGTTAAAATGTTGATTTTACGTTAACGCTCGACAGCAAGGATGTCAATTTCACTTAGAAAACAGCAAAATGGTCATGGTCACATGGTCACACAACGTATAAGCTTAACGATGTTGATTTCAAGTCTAAATAGGTTAAAAAGTTGATTTGACGTTAAAGCATGAAGGCAAGGATGTTGGTTTCACTTAGAAAACAGCAAAATGCCAGGAGCCCACGATGGGCTCCTGAAAATGGTAATTTAACTGAAGGTTTTTACTTGTTTGTTATGTAATCTTTCAATTGTACACATTATCATTATGATAATTACTTCGGCAACTTACGCTGAGTGTCTTCTCTCTGATAATTGTGTCTTTCATGAATCTGACTGGCCACAGCAGAAGGTAAATGACTGCTTTCTACTGATCCAGACATCCAGCCAGGGGAACCTTGGCCAAAAGAAATGTTTACAAGTTTCAAAATAACATTACAAGAAACAATGAAATAAAAACATAAACCACAATGTCCACCCTCCTNCAAGTCTAAATAGGTTAAAAAGTTGATTTGATGTTAAAGCGCGACGGCAAGGATGTTGGTTTCACTTAGAAAACAGCAAAATGGCAGGAGCCCATGATGGGCTCCTGAAAATGGTAATTTAACGGAAGGCTTTTACTTGTTTGTTATGTAATCTTGCAATTGTACACATTATCATTATGATAGTTACTTCGGCAACTTACACTGAGTGTCTTCTCTCTGATAATTGTGTCTTTCATGAATCTGACCAGCCACAGCAGAAGGTAAATGACTGCTTTCTACTGATCCAGACATCCAGCCAGGGGAACCTTGGCCAAAAGAAATATTTACAAGTTTCAAAATAACATTACAAGAAACAATGAAATAAAAACATAAACCACAATGTCCACCTTCCACATAAAATTAAAAAAATTTTTACTATTATTATTATTATTAGAATTATTATTATTAATATTATAATTATTATTACTACTGTGCAATTGAACTCAGTCACATACATCATGTATTTTTTTCAATTTGGTTTGATTTTCTTCAAGTATTGAACTGATTGAACCCAATAGTTTGATTATAGTACGTTCAATTGGGTTCGATTTAAAGCTCAATTACTGAACAGTTTGATTAGCAACGTTGGGCATTGGAGTTCANGGAAAACCACAAACTAATGTTTAGGTGGCCTCAGAATGGAAGATCAAGGAGTACAGAATCCTCAAACCTCTCTAGTGAATAATTTTTTCTTCCTTCAAATGAGGCAAAAACATTGGTGTGCTTTCAAGTGAGTTTTGAATCAGTGTTACGTTTGAATACTGATCATGGATTTAGGGCAGCTTCCTAGACGTGAGAAAACAAAAATGGTAATGTACAGTATTACTTCGAAATTGAATTCAACTTTTGGAAGGACTGGTAAAGCCACAGCCGACAAAATGACTGCAAAATGGGTTGGCAAAAACTCAAGCATTCGCTTTAGCATGAAGAATTAATTTGAATATGCTGTTGATGCAATGAAGCACCTCTGTCAAATTTTTTTACTTTCAAATAGGTTTCTTTACCTCACCTTGGGTGAAAATTTATTGTTATTGAACTTCCTGTCACGTTTCTTTCATTTGGTTGCCTTTATTTAGAAATTTTAGGTTTTAAATGTGAACAATATTTTAGATTATTAAACTTCCACTTTGGATTTCTGCAATTAATTTACTTTTCAAATTTAATTTTCAAATTGGTTTTTACATGTGTCTTTCGCCTTTATTTTCTGCTGTTTTCTCAAACATTAGTCTAGCTTTATAGTACAAGAATCAAAATTCTTTTGTATTTGGTTTCGCTTTGTCCTCCGAAGGCAATAATTAACTCATTTATGCATATTCAATTTTCTCAGCTTCTAGATCTGTTGGGCAAAGAAATAAGATGATTTCTTGTTTTCTTATCAGTTTTGTTCATCAGGTTGAGTTCTTTTTGGTTATATTCTTCAATATTTTGGCCCTTCATTTTGAAACCTGATCTTGTGTCTGTGGTTACTGTATATATTTATTTTACTTACTTTTTATATTTTATTTTATTTTATCTTATTTACCACACTACAAGAATATAATTATGAAAAAACAGGAAAAGAGAGAAAAGGACATGATTACAAGAGTGGCAAGAGGCCTAAAGGAAATGAGGAAACTTATGCTAACTAGGCCTCCTGAATTACAAAGTTACTGACATAAATTGACATTTGGGCGACAGATACAAAACAAGTTATAATCAAAAAACAAAAATTAATAAGTACTCAATATCTTCTACAAAACTAAACAGTTATAAAGGCTAGAAATAGTTATTACCAGTCATTATTTACAAAATTACAATTATGATACATATGCAAAGACTATTAATAAGTTAAAGAGAAAGTACAAAATTACTCAGACCTGAATATTCCCAACAAAAGTACAGTGTATATGTATATATAAAGACAACTAATAGTTACTACAGATAAATGTCTTAAGCGTTTTTTTTTTAAGGAAACTGTAGAGATTGGATTGACGATATCAGAATTAACAGAGTTGTAAAATTTTGCTCCTTTGTAAAAAACAGCAAACTGTTTGATATTCGTCCAACAGAAGGACAAATGAAATGCCAGAGAGTTTCTTGTATAATAGGAATGTATTTGTCTATCTAAGGTAAACTTACACACAAATTTGGAGGGTAGAATGTGGTTTTGATAGGAGTACATGAATAGATACAGTGTATATGGTTTATTTTTGTGCTTATGCTTGCTCTGAAATATTAAAAAAAAAATGCCAGAAAACTAGGGGTAGGTCGCATGCAATTTTATGCAGGCATGAATGGGTTAAACCTCACAAAAGAAATACTGTTAGTGTGGATATCGTATATATTACCTACAGTACTGGTTACTTGTGATCCATCAGTTGAAGTGGCATTATTAGCAGGAGGTTGCTGCTCAGAAACATGGTACTCATTGCCACCAGGAACAGATTCAGTTGTTTCTACAAAAAGATGGGATTGTACTCTTATTAACTCTTAATTAAATTAAGATATAATGGTTTGGTAATAATTTTTTTGTATATCAACACCAAGGAAAATAAGCAGCATGTGAGAAAAGAAACAAACTGTTTAATTGGCTTAAGACAAAATAACCTCACTATGTGCCCCCCCCCCCCGCCACCAATTTTATTACCATATCTCTTAAAACTATGATGAAATTTGCATCTTTCCTATCACAGCCATTTTCAAACATAAACAAGTAGTCTGTACGAAAAGAAAAATACTGTTTACCATTTTCAAATATCTCTTTTTGTTTTAGAGACAAAGCTAGTACATTTAAATATGCAATTGTGCCAAACTCCCAGAAATCAATTACTCCATAATATACAGCGGAATCCCAATTTTTCGAACCTCCCAGGGAAACAAGAATTGGTTGGAAAATAGGGTAGTTCAAGAAATCAGGGTTAACTTAACGATTGTCAGATTGAGTAGAGGGAAACAAGTTTTGCTACGAACTGGGAGTTAAGAAAAATTAAGTTTTTGACAAGCCAGGATTCCACTTAATATCTGTTTTTTTTTTTAATTTTTCAAAGCCTCATGTACCTAATGACATGGACAGATATAAGCACAATATCTCAATTTTTTTCACCAGATGGAACAAAACATGGCATCCTTTTGGACCTCCCTATCATCCAATTGGTTTGAAATGTCTGTGATCTTCTGTAAGTTATTGAAGCAACATTTTGTTGTTAATGTTCCAAAACCACCCTAGAAGCAATAGCATGTGTGATGAAAACAGTGAGTCTGGAGTCACACGACAAAAGAGAAATCAAAATGGCATCTTAAAATACGGATCGGGTCAGTCAGTTGTTTATGGCTTAGATCCCCTTGGAATTTTCCACATACAAACCAAACATTGTAGAGTGTAGATCGAAGAGAGTAGCTGGTATAACGTAGAGAGTAGAGCGTAGATGGGCTTAGAGGGAGATGGTAGATCATAGAGCGTAGAGCATAGATTGAAGAGAGTAGCTGATAGAACGTATAGCGTAGAGCATAGAGCGTAGAGGGTAAACTCAATACAGAATTTTAAATTGAAAACGATTAAAACACTGTAAACTATAACAACACTTTAATGACCCTTTAATATACGTGAATGGAATATGCTACAAATTAAAATTAAATTTTACGAAATAGGCAGGTAACCATAGTAACAATACACCACTACGGTAAAAGCTATGAAGTAGGAGGTAATGTAACTTTCCCACACATAGAAGGAGACTGGTGACGAAAGCATATAGTCATCGAACTCTACAAAAATTTCTATGCCAAATTGAGCTTCATAAAACAGGGGTCAGTTGTTATCTGATGCTCACAAAAGCAAAAATGCCCACAGTGCAGCGAGTCATGGTGAGACAAGCCAACTCAGCACAGGTGTATTTACACAGCCACCTCTGAAGTATTATTGAGCAGTCTTGAATGAAAAGTGCAGAGGTCATTAACTCATCTTTGTTTCAAGAGAAAAACAACAAATGTAACTAACAATTCTTTATTCCAATATCTTGACAAGTATTTACAGCAATGCAGTTTACTATATCTCATTTGAAAGGGCACAAAATGTATTTTCCAGAAAAAATAGTTTGAGTTTATGGAAAGTAATAAAACTTTTTAAAAATTTTAATTGGAACAATTTATCAATAAAAGGTAAAAAAAATTGAGAAAAACTAAAAAAATGTTGTAAAACCACTCTGCCGTTTGAATTTCATGATAGTCTCACTCCTTTCCGATATATATAAACAAATGCATCCCGAAAACTGAATAGCAATCGAGAAAATCTATAGTTAACTGCGTTTTTTTTCCCGAGTCATAAACAGAAAGTGCGTGTTTCGGTCACCATGGCAACCGCCCACATATGCAAGTTCGAGTCCACATTGAAATGCAACAAAACAAAGCTTTTATCGAAAGGTATTTGGCTGAACGTTTCATAAATTGACTTAATTATTGTAAATGTAAATTGGCCATTTCAAGAGTATTTAGTCGCACTCAAACAACATTTCTTTGTGTCGTGAACCCACGCGAAGAGATATGAATGTTCGTTAACCTACAATTCTCGCTTCGAATTTCAATATAATTCAGGAAATCACTCAAAAGACAACTGACCATATTCCACTGATGAATATGGCCTGCCATGATCGGCAGAACCTTTGAGAATGAAAACCAGAATAGTGTAATTTTACACTTCTGTTTTGTGTTTGAAAAGATATCCACTTTGTGCAACATGATGGAGGGTTGTTGCAAAGGTTGTCTGTCATTCAGTTGTTAAGTAAAGTTGTAACAACATACAGTTACTCTTACTTACTTGGAGAGTTCCATTTCTGATAACTTGGTCCTCCACAAGTCTGACCAGACAGGGTAGAGGGAAACCTACTGTATTCCATTGATGAAGGCCACCAGCCAGAGGAACCTTGACCAGAAGAGAAATATGTTCGCAGTCATACAACCTTGTACAGAACACAGTACATTACCTTTCTGATAACTAGTATACCTTACGTGTGTATGTGCAGCAAATGCATGTGCATACTAAACAAAGGACAATGTATGCTGTGGCAAAATTCCATTCCATACATAACTGCTCCAAGCAGTAACAATTTTGGTCACCATGGAAAATTAGAAAAAGATGGTAACTGAATTTGGTTGACTATTGTAATAAGTTTTGAACCCCTTTGGGCTTTGTCTTTGTGTCAATTTTGGTTTTGGATCAAACATGCAGTGCAGCCCATTTTTCAAAAGTCAGATTTTGGCAATGCTACTAAACCTAATCCAAGTTAAAAAAGTTGATTTCACATTGTCTGTTTGATCATTGGTTTTGACAGTTACCTCCAATAACAATAATATCACCTAAACATGCTTAATTTAAGGATTATTTTAATAGCATGACAATCTTCTATCAGTGAAGATTACCAACTTCCTGGAGCTTTGTACTCACATTAATTTTACTACTGTTGAGACTAAGAAATAAGTTTTTCCACTCACTCCAAGGGTGACTTGTCTTATACGTTTGAACTGGAGTCTGAGGGCCTGTCTTGTGTTCCGGTAATGAAGGTGGCTTGTCATGACCAAAGGAGCCTTTGAAAACCAAAAGGAGTTATTAATTAATACTTTTAAAATTCTGCTTTGTGCCTACAATGCGCTAGAGAATTTGTAATTTATTTATTAAAAAAAGAGTGCATAGCCTTTGAGGTAGAGTAACGGCAATAATGTTGCAAACAATTATTGTCTGTTATGCAATTTTGCTATGATATTGCATACTGATTATTATAATTTATTACTTCAACTCATTCCGACCGTTCCCTCTCTGATAATCATGCCTTTCATGAATCTGGATGTCCACAGCAGAAAGTAAATGAATGCATTCTACTGATCCAGATAGTAGTCAAATTAATTCTGCAATACAGAGCTTGCAAAAGAAAATTGCAGTAATACATGTATTATTTTAAAAAAAATGTTTTCCCACTCACTCTGAGGGTGACTTGTGTGATACATTTGAGCTGGAGTCTGAGGGCCTATAAGAAAAGGTGACTGATTGTATTCCAGTGATGTAGGTGGCCTGCCATGACCAGAGGAGCCTTTGAAAACCAAAAGGAGTTTATTTTAATTAATACTTTTAAAATTCTGCTCTGTGCCTACAATGTCCTAAAGAATTTTTAGAACAAGGTGCATGGCCTTTCAGGTTGAATAACTGCAATAGATTTGCCAACAATTACTGTTTGTTATGTAATTTTTCAATATTGTAGACAAATTATAATTACTTCAACTCACTCTGAGTGTCCTCTCTCATAATTGTGCCTTCCATGAATCTGACTGGCCATAGCAGAAGATAAATTACTGCATTCTACTGATCCACACATTAGTCAAATTAATTATACAATACAGACCTTACAACAGAAAATTGTAGCAATGTTATTTTTAAAAAAAATGTTTTCCCACTCACTCTGAGGGCGACTTGTCTGATAAGTTTGAGCTGGAGTCTGAGGGCCTGCAGGAAAAGGTGACTGACAGTATTTCAGGAATGAAGGTGGCCCACTATGACCAAAGGAACCTTAGAAAACAAAGAGAGAAATACTTTAAAAATACTGCTTTGTGGCTACAAATAATAACATTGTACACGTACATGCTAGATAACTGTTAACTGCAGCTTTTTCACTTGTTTGTTATGTAATCTTGCAATTGTACACATTATCATAATTACTTTGGCAACTTACGCTGAGTGTCCTCTCTCTGATAATTGTGTCTTTCAGGATTCTGACTGGCCACAGCAGGAGGTAAATCACTGCATTCTACTGATCCAGACATCCAGCCAGGGGAACCTTGGCCAAAAGAAATATTTTACAAATTCAAAAATAACATCATAAGAAACAAATTTCCAATTGACAATAATGTACAAAATTAATAAAAACATAAACCACAATGTGCACCTTACTTATAAAATTTTAAAAAAAGAATTACTATTATTACTATTACTACTATTATTATTATTGTTATTACTATTACTATTACTATTACTATTACTATTACTATTACTATTACTATTACTATTACTATTACTATTATTATTATTATTATTATTATTATTATGCAATTGAACTCTCTCACACATTTTTTTTCAATATTTGGTTTGATTTTCTTCAAGTATTGAACTGATTGAACCCAATAGTTTAATTAAGTTCAATTGGTTTCGATTTAAAGCTCAATTATTGAACAGTTTGATTAGAAACGTTGGGCACTGGGGTACACTTTTGCATCCTGCAAAGCATTTTATGATCAGTTGTATTCAAGTTTCTGTAAAATTTACCATGTTGTTGTATTACTCCAGTAAACCTGCTTCTCTGATTTGCATTTTATTTTCGTTGTGAGTTTGGTTTAGTTGCACTGCAATAAATAACCTTTTTCATTGCCTGTAATTCTCTATGTGCAAATGCTTGTACCAGCAGGAGACATTATTCAAGCACAAAATTGTGGTAGCAATAACTTTAAATTGAAAATAACAAAAAATAAACCAATGATCTTTTAAAAGCATAGTCGTGCCTCTTTTCTATCAGGTGTACGCACAAAATAAGCCAAACATGGAATAGAAATCCTCAGGCAGGAGGGAGCTCTTTGACCTTGGAAATCTGCATGGGAGGGGGCTCTTTTACATGTAGCAGTTGTGGTAATTCTGGCAGAAGGGGATGTGGGTCAAAATATCATGTTATCTGTAGGGTGTATGAGTGGACTTTTTTGGAACAACCAACTGCAAGATTAGAGAGCTTATTTAACATCTTAACAAGTATGAAAACTATTCACCAGTTACAAGGTTCTGCATCTTTTCCACAAGAACACCACAAGGTGCCTGCCAGCTGTACTTCTCCAAATACTTTTTACGAAGTAAATCAGATTCTGCAAGTCGAACATCCCTGTCTTTTTCACGGACAGCCTTGATTTTACTGGCCCAGTGTTCAGGATCCTCTGAATCTACTACACAGTTTGAGCCATTAGGCACTTTCATGAGAGCTTCTCCAAGACCTGAGTTACTGCTTACTAGTACAGGCAGACCAGCAGATAATGCCTCAAGGGCTGTCAATCCAAAGCCCTCACTCCTTGATGGCATGATTGCCAGATCAACCTCGCAGAATAATCTAGCTAGTGTTTCTCTGCTTTCATTAAAACTGCAAACAATTAGTTGACTGTGGTCAATGTCATGCTCAAGTAGCTTTTCTGCTATTTCATTTGCTTTTCCTCTTGGTGCACACACAAACTTTAGTTGGTAGGAGTTTTCTTTCAACTCAGCAATAGCTCGAGCAGCAAGGTCATATCCCTTTAGATTAAAATCTTCACTGTCACCACTCCCAACAACTAGAACACAAAATGTTTTTCTCTCTTCAGTGGCTTGCATCACATCTAAAAATTCAGTGAAAATGCTTGGGGTAAGATCAATGACATCTTGGTGCTTCTTACTAGAGCAAAGAAAACGCCTGTAAGTATCTGCCAGCTTGGGTCCAACTGCTACAACTTGATCTGCCAACTCGCAAAGTTCTGTCTCTGTTTGCTGCATCTTCTCACCTCTGGGAATGGCATCTGCATTCCTTTTGTACATTGCAAGAGATTCAGGAGCATTGTGAACAATCTGAATCCACTTACATTGATGACTTCGCTGTATCAGTGGTATTTGTCGGCCAAGATGTACTCCATGTCCGATAACACAGTCCATGGCATGGTCGTCTGGTATGTTGATCAGCCAATCAACTGGATCAACACCTGTCATTTTCTCTGCTTTAATGAGCTGAACGTTGTGACCGGCAGCAATTCTCTTGTCATCTTCACTGCACTGAGGGAGAAACACACTAACTTGCACACTGGGGTGTTTAGCTAACTGTATTGCTAGTTCTCTGTTGACGGTTGACAAGTCTCCATCGATTGACGATCTCCATTCACTACTTAACAGAGTAACATACAATGTGCTCCTTTCTACTATCTCCTGGCCTTCCTGTGATGTGGAGGCTATGCTGGGATAGACGAACCCCTGAAACAAATGCAAATGGAATTAACATATCCATTCCATTTTAAAATTGCCTTGATAACTTCAATTAGTTTTAATTAATAACAGAACCCCACAGCCAAGAGAATTCCCACATGTCAGTTCACAAGTAGACCTCTATGCTGATGATACTACCCTTACAGCATCTGCTCACTTTAATAATTTACCTGAACTTAAACTTTCACTAAATACAATGTCCGCAAATAAAATACGTCACTGGGCCAACTCAAATAACCTCCCAATCAACGAGTCAAAGTCCAAAGTCTCAACGATCACCGGAAAGCACCTGGCATCTAAGATCAATGATGAACTTGTTGTCACAGTAGCACTCTCAAGGTATTGTGTAACCTTAAAATGATCTCTGCAGCACAGCAACATTTGGACCATTTTAGGATTTAGCTTTTATATCTATGGACGTTTTTAATATTATTGTAATCCAACTTGTATTCATAGTATCGTTCATTTTTCATTAGATTTGCAATTTAATTTTCCGAGGGCCACAAGTCTATTAGCCTTTGGCTATTAAGTGTTAACCATCCTTTAATAAAGTCTTTGATTGATTGATTGATTGATTGATTGATTGATTGATTGATTTACTTTTATTGGCAAGCATGGAATAGAACTTGAGCATGAAAGTGACGCATTGGATGTGCATACAAGTGTGGTTTTCCATTGGCTGAGGAGCGAA